AAATAATAAGCTACTTTGAAATATCTGGTGTTGCGTTGCTTAAGACGTTTTTCTTATAATTTAAAAATCATCATTATCATGTTAGTTGTAGTTTTTAGGGGTCCGTACTCTTAGAGGCCTTGAAGTTACAGTTTTGCGTTTTGGAACACAAAAGACTGATAAAATAAAGAATACCACTCCTTGACAGTTAAAGTACAGTTGAAAACTGGTTTAAGCTTTGGATCTATCTGTAAGCTCACTTGCATTTTAATTAAATAAGTAAATAAATAAACAAACAAGATTTTGACGATCGATCCAGTTGATAAAATTATATTAGAAGAATCGGACGATAATAATTACCAAAACACGCGTGCGAGTATGATTGTCACGAGTTGAGGATCATGCCCGTCCACATTTTGGCTGTAAACTTGAATTTTATTGGAAAAAAAGTTACCTATATAAAATATTTTTTGTTTCTATAGTGAAGTATTAAGCAACTCTCTGTTTTTATTTTATCTCATAGCCCGAGGCTGCGTATAACATCAAATATTGACCAGCGAACAGTGCGCGTACTGCATTTTTTGTTCTGCAAATATTGTGTTATGAAAGAATAATTCCACTCGGTCTCGTTTTTTAACGAAAATACACGGTTACGTTGATAAGCTGGGTATTTTTATTAAAAAACGGCTTTCGTATAAACCAAGAGTGAAAAGTTTCGCCGAAAAACGTGATGCATTGCAGGTAAATTATGTAATAACAAAGCATGTTTTCGATCACACCATGACGGCTCCATGGTTTAATAGTTACAGTCTCTTGCGATCTGAAGTTCCTATATTTGATTCCCATGCAGGACCATAAACTCAAAACGTTGACTCATGAATTCTGAAATCAGGACTACGACCCCACAAGCCCAACTTATAGAATAAGTAGGGGAACCTGTTGTACTTAGGCCAGTTTTTCGAATTTTGATTTTTTGAAAAATAATGGTGATAGTTAAACTTGTCTAGTGCAGTTATATTTAAAGATCATTTAATTAACTATATAATTCATTAATAAAATTGTGTATAATTTAAAAAATTTGGGCATACTAGCTTCTAGAAAAAAAAAGGGAAAACTGTCCTAGGTACAACAAACCAGGTGTACCTTGGACCGTGTACGTTGTACCTATTTAAATTTAAATAAATGCTTATATTCGCTTCAATTTGTTAATTTTCTGTTAAATTATTATTTGAAATACCAATTATTACAGTTATTAGCAACAATATCTAAGTAAAAGTATTTTTTTAAAAAGATCCTCATCCATATTTTTTGTACTAATTATTTTTCACAATTTTTTGGCAACAAATCACTTAAGTTTAAGCCGGCTCTCCAGTCCATGTTCAGCCTTACACAATCAACTAAAATATGACAATATTCAACATTTTTTCTAGAAAATTTTGTTGAATGTTGATATGTTATGTCGTGTAGGACAAAATACGCGCTGGAGTGGCTTTAACTTGCAATCTAGTTTTTTTTATTTCTTATCATTTAACATAAATTCTAGCAAAATATCCATTAAAACCGCTTTATCAACAAAAATAATCTTAAAAATGTCATATGAAGATACATTAAACGTAAATTTAAAAAACATTAGAAATTAAAAAAATACATATCAAAAACAGACTTTAAATTGCTATTTTGAGGTCTTCGGGGCATTGTATCTATAACAGTATGATATGTTTTTTTTATTACAATAAAATTCTCATTAAAACGTATGAAAATCAGTGACCAAGGTACATCGCTAGTTGGGTGGTCAAGGTACAACATTGCGACTACTTCACTTAATAAGCACACTATACCCACTTCCATTTGAGCTTAGGATCTGAAACTCATATCGTCCAGTAGCTAGATATATAAAGATTATGTTCTAACTATAACCGTTTTGTCAAACATGCAACATTTTTCATAAATTGACATGAAGTAAACCTCCAAAAACTCACTGCGTCAGTGTAAAATATTAAATTACCATTTTTTCTTGTACTTGCACGGCGTCGGCGAATCTTAGCTAACTACACGTTAATGTTGACAAATAACGTATGTAATACCCTAGACAACTTTTCATAAAACCGCATAATTTAAAAAATATATACAATTGTTTTAGGTACAACTCTGTCCAAGGTTCAACAGGTTCCCCTACTCGTATAAACTTAAAATTAAAATTGGGTATATTCTTCTCTTCTTCGTCGCTACACTTTTGGCAGAGTGGTCGTGGTCGTCACATCTGGTTTTGGCAAGCTTTAAAATCCGTCGCCATTCCTCCTACTAGGTATCTACTTAGGATTTATTTTAGAAACTAAAAATTTTTACTCCTTAAGGGTTCCTAAAACGAATTCGCAAAAGTCATCACCACTTCGTTCGTTCGTTCGTTTCAGCCGAATGACGTCCACTGCTGGACAAAGGCCTCCTCCGAGATTTTCCACAATGAACGGTCCTGCGCTGTTAGCATCCAGGCTCTTCCCGCGACCTTCGCCAGATCGTCGGTCCACCTAGTAGGCCTGCCCACGCTACGTCTTCCAGCCCGTGGTCGCCACTCGAGAACTTTTCTGCCCCAACGGCCATCGTCTCTACGAGCTATGTGCCCCGCCCACTGCCACTTGATTTTAGCAATTCTGCGAGCTATGTCGGTCACTTTGGTTCTCCTGCGGATCTCCTCATTTCTGATCACCACTTATCAAGACACATTTCGAAATACGATCTAAAAGTAAAATTAACACAGATAACATACTACTAGACTGTCTATAATTATTCTAGCTCAGTTATTAGAGCTGACTAAAGTAGGCTAACTCAAAACCAACTCCGTCGATACAAACTTCGGGGATATCCGCCGGGGATATGCCACTCCTGCGTTTGGCCGCCTAACTTTATACTATCACATACATTTTGCTTAATTTAACTAGTTAATATGATATGATATAGTATCTTAGTCATTTCCAGTGTTAATCGTCAGTTAGACTATTGCAATTACTGATGAGGAGTTTATTCAACCACCCAATTGAAATATTCATACGCAAGCTGCTGTAGCAAGCATGTTTTTCGAATTAGTGCAGATAAGGATTTAGTAACTATAGCAATTGCCAACAAATCTCTTAAGCCAATGAAAGGCCACTAACAGCTTGATGACCCCAATATGTCTAAACTACACTCGGCATCAAATAAATCGCACCTCCCGCGACAAGCACTTATCAAACGTATGCATCCCCACTTCCCACCAACATTGGTACCATTTGAAAGCCTAGTTTTAAACTTCATTTCATTAAAGGAAAGGTTTTTACCCCAAAAATGTGTCTTTACAAGGATCCAGAGTCACTTCTTCAAAAAATAGGTAGTTACGCTATAGCTATTTTTTATGACTATAAAACTGTTAAGTTGGGATTAATCGCTATCCATCTGTTAAAGAGGACACGTGAGATCTTTATTTGGTTTTATAACCATAAAAATTGGTCTAATTGATCCCAGAGGTGAGCCCAAAGTGAGGTATATTTTCAAGTCACATTTATGGTATATGTTAATCATTTATTTAGAAATAAAATGCATTATTCTTTAAGGATATTTATTGGGCTTTCAAATAACACCAATATTGTTGGGGTACCATGATTGTGTCAGAAGAAAATCTTTAAAGTTCGCGTCGCGGAAGGTGCGGTTTATTTGATGTTGAGTGTAGTACCAGATTACATTGAAGTCTGTATTTGGTTATTCTATCAGAACCAAACGACAATGTAGGATTGAATTGCATGCTATAAAAAATGACCTTATAATCTCTTTTCTCCTCGGCTCAGTGGTTAGCCTGTTGAACTGTTTCTAGTCCTAACGAATGGTGAATAAAAATATACATGTAGTCGGAATAAATAAATAAGGACAAATAAATACATTGTATAAGCTTTGTGTTTATTTTTATCTATATGTTACGGTCAAAGTGATAAATGTGAAAATTATGAATAATCGCCGGTTATTATGAATAATTACCGCATGATTTGGTAAATGTGATTAATATGAGGTCATTTATGTGTGTATAAAACTAAATAAGCGGCTTAGGGGTGGCCCAAGGCCACCCCCGCCGCACCTTAACCTATTTTTCACTTTAAATCAAAACATTATGTTATAGGCATCATGGAAAAGTGATATTATGCAAGAAACACTCCAAACTCATTATGCCAAATTATATTAATATATGATATCAAAACGTTCAAAAGTTTGGCTGTACACGAGCACGTACACAAGATGTTGTTCTCTTTTATGAAATTTGTTAGTACTAAGCTTGAATTATTAAATAATCATTGTTAAATGTGATTCATTTATCACTTTTACCGCGACTGTCGGTAATTATTCATAATAACCGGTTATTATTAATATTTTCAATTTATCACATTAACCGTAACATATACATTTTTCTACCATTTCAACTTGCCTTTTCACAATAGTAATGACGTAACCGAATGTGTTTTATTTTCTCTTCTCAATCATCGTATTTGTACAATTGGACATGAAGGACATTGCTCACAACTCCATCGTATCATTATTTCCTTATTTATAATGTAATTGTCCAATAATTGGGGAAGTACTCGCCTTAGCCGTCTTGAGGAAATTGTCCTCTCTGTCCTCAATTTGACAGTAACAAGACTGTGTAAGAGGAAAGATAAAAATAGATGGAAATACCCTTTACTTTTAATTAAGTCTAGCAATTAATGTAAGTAAATCGCGTATTTGTGAAATTTGTTAAGTATATTAAGTATATATTAAAATACTCGTAAAACCTCACTGATGTTTTAGCTTATCATTAAACAAAGTATAAGTTTACCAGATAAATTGTAGTGTGTATTTGAAATGTATTTAATGTAAAACTTCTACACTTCATACACTACATCATTTCAGATCGATAACTAAAATTTGTAATTTAATAACAATTTCTTCGTTCATATAAATGGAGTAAAAGTAAGGTATTTAATTGTACATGGCACTTAAAATTTGCTATTACTGTAAAACTATTAATTAGTAAAAATATCATAAAATATCACAATTACAAAGGAATAAAAATACTTCTTACTTCAAAAGCGTATTTCTAATAGTCATAGCCTTCTGTAGAAAAATAAAATACGCCGGTCGCGTTACCAGGATTCCAGAAGCCTGCAATGGTGGTTTCATTCTGCGAGCAGTTGCCTTTCTTAAAGTCTTTGTATTTGTCGCATTTCCACGCCAAAAACCAGTCGGGATGGCTGACAGTGGCTGTCCACATGTCAATGCACGCTCTATGGTTGCATTTAGCTGCTTTAGACGAATCAAAGATACCAGGAATCAGAGGGGTCTTACAGTTCGGTTGGGAAGACCCCTTTTTGTTTACGAAGAAGTCCACGTCAGCCAAAACACTGGTCGTGCCAAGACCACCAGCATTACAATGGTACACTTCAACATATTCCGCAACTCCAGACCTGATCTGTTCCTGGATGAGACTGTTGGAGAAACACGGTCCAGCTGGATCTAAAGCTGTAATCCTTGAAATTTTCTGACTAGTTCTGTTTATGAATTCGCCTCCAGCGTGACCTAAGATCTGACTCCCCAAGCTGTGGCCTACGCAATGCATGTTCTTTGGCGATATACCTCCTTGGCTCAATTCGGCCAACATTTGGCCCAACGCTTTGCCGATGTAATGGACGTATCTGACAGATCTCTCGTAGCTCTTTATGTACCCTTGCTTGTCATTTGTATACGGGGAATGGTCCAGGATGATGAGGTAGCTGTTCGGGAAGTTTCTAAACGTCTGCCTGACTTGCTCCTCCGTTCTTTTGTTGATGTTAGATTTGTAGCCAGCTACGAATATTATGAACTTTCTAGTCTTGTCCAAACCTTGGACACCAAGTATGCCTTTCCCCGCGTTGGCGATTGGGAATGTCTCAACATGATTTTTAGGGAAATCGTATAAATACACGTTGATCTCACTGACATCGAGATTCAAGCTTCTATCGTGATCACCTGAAATGAAATAATTAAATATTATTAGATTAAAAATAATAATTGTCAATTTTAGACTAACTTTACCAACTAGGAAGTACCAATAGGACTATCTAATTTTCTAAATTCACCGCACGCCCTATTGTGTACGATGACGTAATTTGACTTGTGTGACGACATGTAGAATACTGCACTTGGCCATGTATGAAATCTATAAAGAGCAAGGTACTTATTGTTAAGTATCAAGGGCACCCCGACAATGGGTACCGAATGTATTGCAAATTTAACACAGTGGGCAAACGAATCAATGTGTTGTACCTATTTCCTCCAATAAACAAAAGGCTGACAAAGCTGAATTTAACACAGTGGGCAAAATAATTGTTGTGTAATGTTTTACGCTGCTAATGCTGACTGGATTACTTGCGTCACTTATTCTCATCAACAATCGATGGTGTCTGACGATCAAGGACCTACCTAATATAGCTATACTAATATAGCTTTGGGGCGTTTTCAAGAAAAATAAAAGCATATTGATATTGTATAGTCAATAGAATAGAAATTAATAAGTAGGAGTTATGTCGTTTTTAGTAAATATATCATTTTATCGAACCTCATAATTTATAGCGATTAAAATAAAGTGATATGGTGCTCAATGATCATGGACATCAAGTGAAATAGGGTGTTTATTGTTATTAATTTGAGTTCAAGTAAATGCGATTGGGATTTCGATAACCCTATTGTTTGGTTCGTTGCTATTTAGTCAACTGAAATGAATATTCATTTGTGTAAAGCTACAAAATCTTACTTTTCAATCAATATAAATACCTCGATAAATACCTTAAATACTGATGTAGGTCCTGAAGTACCTAAGTGCAAAAACGTAATACGCATACGTACACACATTATTAAAAATTAAAGTACATATTTTAGATACTTTTTCCAAAATAAAACTTTAGGATGAAATTACTAGTCGTAGGTACTCAATTTTCAAGGTAAGCACCTACGTCATTCGATAGACACAGCATCCAGACTCTAGGATCAGAGGATGCATCTAATCAGTACGATCACGTCTTATTAAGATCCAGTTGCAACCAGTGTACCGCTCGTAACAGGTGTTATGAACCTACGCTGGTTTGCCTAATATCGAATGTAATTAACGCTATCATTAACGCTACTGATGTTAGATATTAGAACTCAGAATAGAGTTGTTATTTATTTGAACCGTTTAAATGTCAAATAGGTTTTACATACTAATTTTCAGCAATCAATTGTCTTTTTAATTGGCTACTAAACAGAGCTTGTACTACGGCGCCGGCGTCTAAATTAATACCTTTTTCTGTATGTATAATTAATTTAGGTTCGAAGAAAATAAAATATACATATTTTTTTAATTATTTGATAAAGTGAAATGAAAAAGAAACGCTTCGATGTACTTAATTATTAACGTAAATGTTTTAGTGGTTCATTACCTACCTAGTTAATAAGTAAGTAATAATGTTTCCCACCAGTTTAAATATAAGGTTAATAACAATAATTCCTCATATCAAAGGGGAAACCCAATAAAATAATAATTTATCAACTACAATTAACCAATTAATTAAATCGTATCAATAAATTCATACGCCATGTTGCCGACAAGACCAAGACCGACTGACAGAACGATTGCAGTAAAGGTTATTGAATTGTAAACAATTGCGCTTGCAATATAATTAGTATGGGCCGTCGATCACTGCCAGCGGATTCTGAACCGTGTTGACATGCGTCGGTCACGACCATGCCTCATTGAGCATTGCTACAATGTATTGAGACCTTGATGATTGATCCGTTTAACTTTCATATGAAAATAATTCAAATACTTATAAACAGAATCATATACCTATGTAGTTTCAAACAAAGCGACGATAGCCGAACGGTGAAGGTGTTGGTGGTCGACTCGTGATCGGAGGAACGCGGGTTCGATCCCCGCCGCCGTTCTACTATTGTGGTGATTTACTCGTAACACAGGTATATTTAGCTTACCACGAGGGAATAACGGGATTATTAGTAAATCACTAATATTCTTAAAAAAAAGCAAAACTATGGACTACTACTACGGATGACACGGTTTATCAAGCTAGTCTGTGAAAAATCTCATAATTTATGTGTACTTTTCACAAAAAATGTAGGTCTTTAAATAGTCAGCCACATGTCAGCTGTCATGAGTAACAGAAAAAAATATGACAAATTCATGCAAACATTCGTTTCATGGGTTTTTTAATCATAATTTTGACAGCGGTAGTTTTTTGTACACTAAAATAACACATAAACATATTATCTACATACAAATACATCCATCAGAGATAACTTTGCTCTAAAAACAATCATAATTTTGTCGATACAAAAACACAACAATCTTATGCGTCAATTTTAATTTTAATGTGACCATCATTGGGTCGTTTTGCGTTTCACTGAATAAACACTCTTTCTTTCAACAACTTACATTTTATAAGTCCCGACTTTAGCGCCACCTGGAACGGTCCGAACTTCTCCAAATCTCCTCTTCCCCATGCGTGGGCGCACGCAAAAACACACACTAACAAACAAATAGTCCTCATTCTATGTACAAACGGCGGCACGCCAAGCAAACACTGTGAGATCTTAACTGGTTGTAATAGAGTCGACTTTCCAACAAAAATGTACAGTCTGTAATAATAAAATGTCACACGACTGCTCGGTAAACGCGTTTACCTCACAATGAGGTATGACACGGCCGAGCTAGTAATAAAAGGAGGTGATAAGAGTAGTAAGGTCTTATGCGGACGTACCTCTTACTTTGTGGGGTTTTCTATCGTATTAATTTTAAACAAGGTAATTAAAGAGGTTATTTATTTATTTTCTAATACATGAATTTCTTTTTGTTTTGTTGTTGTTATGCTGAGTCAAATCGATTTTGAAAGAAAGAAAGAATTTTATTTATTACGATCAATATCACTTGGAGAACAAAGAAAGTATACGAAAAAAAGACAGAAATAGCACATAAATATTGCAAGGAAATAAAAAGTGAACTGAGCAGTGCCACCCTGTTACAACAGCGATTTAGTTTATATTTCAAATAATGTAAGTGGACAAGATTCGCGTGAAGTGAAAGTGTAGTACTTTCTATAATTTGGCCTTTGTAAATGTTTCTTTGAAATCAATAATGCGAAACGAAATAGTAATTGTATTTAAAAATAAAAGTTTTATTTTTAAATTTTGGCACATTGAGGACTTAAACAAATTGGAGTACAACTTGTGATCTACTCTAATTTTTTCTTTTATTTTCTTGTATTTTCTACACCTAGTTTTTTTTTTCTTTTATCCAGTTCTTTAAATTATTATTCTACTAGCCTTCCAAACATACAGTGTTATCGTAAAATCAATAGCTTGTCGAACACCACTCATTATCTTACGTCTTAAGTAAATGACTCACGTCCACTTCACCTACACTGTGAAACTGATGACTGTTTACATCCAATCAGTGATAAGACATTATCTGAGACACGTCTCAAACTCTACTTACAGATGAGATAAAATACGCATATAAAAATTAAGACGGTTTTAGGTTATGTCCTGCAAGTTTTATGGTTTAACTTTCTCGGTGAGTCAGTGATCTTGACATTATTTCTCCAATTGAACTGCCTGTTGGTAAAGTACTGTTATCATACAAAAACCGCTAGGTAAACATAAAATAAGTTATAAAACTCATTAAATTTTATTTTTGCAATTAGGCTTTAAAGCACTTTTCTTTTCTAATTCTGATCAATTTTGACCTAAAAACAATTTGAACATTGGGTGACATAGGTACCTAGAAGACACTAAGGGTCCGTGGCCGAGTCCCCCAGTGTTCGACGTACCCGTGGTCGACGCCCCCGGTCAGTTAAATTCGATTTGAAGCAATTTTTAATCAAATGTACAGTCAGGCACAAAAATGTTTATAAACGAATAAATATTAGTACTACTAGTAGAATTAAACACAAAAATGAATCTAATGAAATGATAATAATTCCTACTAATGTTTTTTGTTTCTTACTACTGCTGATTTTGGGTTAAAATTTTCCTTTCAGATTGCATAAATAGCGTCAAACATGCATAGTTTAGTATAATAATTAGCTTGTGAAACTTTTTTCGTTGACTGTACTTGGTGCAAAAGCCGAAAAAAATATGATATTAAATTTATTTAAATCGGGGGCGTCCACCACGGGTGCGTCGAACACTGGGGAACTCGGCCACGGACCCGACACTAAGGGTAATCCTTGTAAATAAAGGATGAAAAACGAGGAGCACAAGGATGAAAAAGGACATTCTACTTATCTCGTAATTTTTCTTTATTTTAAACATTTTACAAAACGCGATACAGACTTTCCGCAGACAGTAGCTATTAAAAATCGATAGGAAAATAGACAATCAAGTGACAATGATAGTCAACCTTCTTTGGTTTGGTGTTGCCGTTACGAAGTTAAAAACAATTTTTGTTTACTTTACAGTACTTAGTTGTCTTGTAAACAAAAAGATCGATTAAGTGCCTCTCTAACTGTATCTACCTACTAGTAGGAGTTCACTGGAATTCTTACTGTTAAATAAGTATTGTTTTTAGTTAAACAAAATAGACACGAAATATCTTAATCTTTTGTCTTCTGTGATGTCCATGGCAATAAATGTTTCTTTCTTTCTTTCTTTCTTTCTTTCTTTCTTTCTTTCTTTCTTTCTTTCTTTCTTTCTTTCTTTCTTTCTTTCTTTCTTTCTTTCTTTCTTTCTTTCTTTCTTTCTTTCTTTCTTTCTTTCTTTCTTTCTTTCTTTCTTTCTTTCTTTCTTTCTTTCTTTCTTTCTTTCTTTCTTTCTTTCTTTCTTTCTTTCTTTCTTTCTTTCTTTCTTTCTTTCTTTCTTTCTTTCTTTCTTTCTTTCTTTCTTTCTTTCTTTCTTTCTTTCTTTCTTTCTTTCTTTCTTTCTTTCTTTCTTTCTTTCTTTCTTTCTTTCTTTCTTTCTTTCTTTCTTTCTTTCTTTCTTTCTTTCTTTCTTTCTTTCTTTCTTTCTTTCTTTCTTTCTTTCTTTCTTTCTTTCTTTCTTTCTTTCTTTCTTTCTTTCTTTCTTTCTTTCTTTCTTTCTTTCTTTCTTTCTTTCTTTCTTTCTTTCTTTCTTTCTTTCTTTCTTTCTTTCTTTCTTTCTTTCTTTCTTTCTTTCTTTCTTTCTTTCTTTCTTTCTTTCTTTCTTTCTTTCTTTCTTTCTTTCTTTCTTTCTTTCTTTCTTTCTTTCTTTCTTTCTTTCTTTCTTTCTTTCTTTCTTTCTTTCTTTCTTTCTTTCTTTCTTTCTTTCTTTCTTTCTTTCTTTCTTTCTTTCTTTCTTTCTTTCTTTCTTTCTTTCTTTCTTTCTTTCTTTCTTTCTTTCTTTCTTTCTTTCTTTCTTTCTTTCTTTCTTTCTTTCTTTCTTTCTTTCTTTCTTTCTTTCTTTCTTTCTTTCTTTCTTTCTTTCTTTCTTTCTTTCTTTCTTTCTTTCTTTCTTTCTTTCTTTCTTTCTTTCTTTCTTTCTTTCTTTCTTTCTTTCTTTCTTTCTTTCTTTCTTTCAAAATAAAATACAAGATAAATGTGTTTAGACGTATGTCTTATTATTAGCTGTCTCTTAGTTTCAAAAAAATTTAAGTCGTTCTTTTTCAAGCATCGCTTTGCTGTAACTAAGGTTGCAGGTGTCAGACTCAATGATCTATATCTAAATTGGCTTATCGTGTCCTCTGTTCCTACAAAACATTATTTCTTTTCAAACGGATAATTAAAGTCCGCTATGTTCCAGCCAAAGTGGGAACCGGAGATATTTCAAACTGGTTTACCCAACAAAACTTGCAGTGAATAAAAAGGGGTTATTCCCGTTGACATTCCGTGTAAAACAACATAAAGGATGTTGACAGCATTGGTATTATTTAACCAACTGTAACTAAACGAGTGAGTCATTGCAATCGGGTATTTTCTAGCTGAGTAGGCATTCACTGATAACGCGAGGCACAAATAAGGAAAGTAACGGTGTACGAGTATCAATTTACCTTAAACATAAGTACCTACATCTTGTAGAGTTTAAATTAACTTAAGGAGTAGGCAGTCGGGTCTTTGTGGAAATGTAGCTAGCATATGCGACTAATCCCACCTCTCTTTCCCACCACTATAATTCCTGAGCAGCGGATCTCAATTTTTCCTGTAATGAAACCCAACTAGTACAAGTTGAGCCGTCCCGGGGATAGCCTAAGTGCAGTGATTCCCAAAGTTGTCTGGGCTACGACTCGTCTAATACAAGTTTCCAAACTCGGGACCCACTTTTAGGAAGTTTCACCCGCTGCCCAACGGTTGCATCGGTAGGGTGGTGTGTCGTTCTACAGGCAGGGTCCACTCATTGTGCGCTCGAGACCCACCACTGGTTCGCGACCCATAGTTTGGGAAACCTTAGCCTAGTGTCTTACAACTAGAACGTCCAACTTTAATCACAAGAATAATAGTTCCAAGTTCGAAATATATGTATCTGCTAGTATTTTCTTGGTGCTGGAACCACTCACTGTAGAGGTCTCAAATCAACAAAGTACATCACGCCTAATTAATATAATTTTGTCATGATGTTTGTAAGACTCTTAATTTTCGCAATAATAAGAAAACACAAAATAATGAGCAAACTCCACTTCACTACACAACGAAATAACTTGACAGTAGGGTTGTGAACCTGTATAACGTCTGAACGTATCTTCGTTTCTGACAAGACTTATAGAATGGAAACATAATCATCATAATCATCATAAATGTCCTGCAATCAGATAATTTTATGAGGTAAGACAATAGTTTAATTTTACAAAGTAAAGGTCTATTTATTAGAATCACTACCTATTATACCATTACATTTCGAAGAAGTGAATTAACAATAAAAAAATATTCCCAATCTGATTGATATTTTACATTACATCGATGATTTACTCATTTTTGCACCTGGGAAGCGCAAAACCGTTGTAGAAATCTTTGGCCTTCTGTGGACATCATTTGGCTGTAACGGACGAACAATATCAACTAACAAAGTTAAGAGTGATCCTACTACATTATTCTCTCACTTTAACTATACTTATCGCCCGAGAAAGATCCCATTATGAAATGCGATACTCATTAAAAGTTGTGAGACATCCTTCAGTCGGGGGACAAAACTTGCTAATTGAAGATACACTACGTATTTTATTGTTTCTCAATGACACTTGGCAAGGAGAATCTTAATTAATATCGTGTTTTGTAGCTAATTTTGAAGGGTAACAGCTTTGGGAGACAGCGAGCGTGAGCGTTAAGAAATTCTATTGTAAATTTTATTTTAGTTAAAGAATAATTCAGATTCTTAGATTCCATTACAAAGTTACTCGTAGTTACATACAGGTCGACCTAATAAAAGCGTGTTAAAAAGAACTTTAGATGACGCATTACATCAGCATAGAGTGCATAAAACAGATGTTTAGACAGAGCTAAGTAAAAGGGACTAAAAAAAAACTAAAAAATAGCGTAGAAAGCTAGAAGCTATTTTCGAATGGCCAAATGTTTTTTTTTAAGCAACAGTTTTACTCAAAAGTGACGTCACGCGATATTTCAACTCAACATAATACTGTAATTATTCGATTATGAAAAAAAAATAAAAAATATGAGTCTAATATTTTCTAATTATCTGTCTGACGGACTAAATAGAATTTCGATTTCATTACCCAGTCATCATCCCTATTCTGTCCTCCTGTCTATTAGCCGAGCAATTTTATTATTTCAATGCAA